TATTAACTTATTTCCTAGCCTAAGTGGTTTTGGAGACTGTTGTTGGCGGAGGGGTCACTGCCATTTTGATTTGCGCTTGGAAATCAAGTGAAGTAAGTCTTCAGGTCTTAGACATCGTTCTCGTTCTCCATTTTAGCTTTCAATCCTATTCGTGGCAGATATTTTCAAGTCTTCGCATGTATTACGGACCAGATACAAAGGTCTACTTCTGCCGCCCGAATCAGTGAATCCCTTCGTTTCGGGTGATCGCAACGACTTCATGTGGAGACCCTTAAAACTGCTGAACCAACTTAAATTCCCAGTAGAAACGCCCCTATGGGCATGGGAAGGGAACGGGAGCGGTTTAATATCTTTCTTTGCCGAGAGCGACAGGAGAATGAAGCGAACCCCCAAAGGGCCTTCGCGGTGCTTCACTATGACGAAAGGAAAAGCCACACTTTCCCACTGCCCCAAATAAAGCTTTCTCGCTAAAAGACTCCTCGAGATGGGCAACGGTTGGAGGCTGTCTCGGGGGAGGGGGGGGGAGAAGACATAGCAAAATGTTGATGTAATTAGGGAATAAGTGGGGTGAAAATACAAACCAATGAGTTGGAAAGGCGTTGCCTCGCACTAAATTGAATTTCTCCATCGTCTCATTCTTTTTCATTCTCTGGCGTCAGTGTCTCTCTCTCTCGAGGTCTGAGCCCCATAAAGTAGGTTTCCTTCTGACTCAAAATCCCTCTTACTATGATGGAGAATCCCTGAAAACGCGCAAGTCAATAGCTCTTCCCCTTCCCGGATCGAACTTTCCGCATCTGCTTCCAGTTTTTCATTTTGAAAATCTCTCTATTTCCGCTGAAGACAGTCTCCTCTCTCGGACGAGAGCCAGCGGGCGTTGAAGGAGATTCCCACCCGAACGAGATTAAAAGCATGGGCTTCATTACAATGCAAATATTCCACATAAATTCTGCAGTACTTTGCTAGAAAGCCCATTCGTTATGGGAGAGAACACACTTTCCACGAGGAGGAAAACTGCTCGTAAAGCACCAGGAAAGGTGTCAGCATGATAAAAAAAAAACTATGAAATATTTTAACAGCCTCAGTCTAGGTTTTGCTGTAGAATCTTCAGAGTATCCGTGTCTCCTTGGTTGAATATTATACCAACGAGTTAAATGCATCGCTAGCAAGGAGTAGAGCGCAAAAGACCCCCACACGATTTATCAAATGTTTGCACATGGGCGAGCGTGGAACGTTAGCGAAATGAAATTCCGAGAGAATCAAAATGAAGTAATGAGCTATTCGGCTGAGTACTAGGTTTTGTCCAGGCATCAATTTTGATTCAAATGGAAGCTTATTTCGCCACACAGATATAGGGAATTTCCTATCTTCTTATTCAGATTTCTTATCACCCATAGACGTCACTAGCTTAAAATAATATGGGGGTGCTAATGGGCTATATAGCAAAAAGGTTTAACCTAAGTGCGTAAAAATAATCTTAATTGTCAACGTGGAAATTCCCGAAATATATTCACTCCCTCCCCCTCCCCCCCTCTTACTGGCCACTTCTTGTAGTATTTTCTAAATCTAGGAAGGTCTGGATGTAGATTGTTAAGCCCTTCGCAGAGAAGTTCGCATTCTCATCGCGTAAGCAGAGGGTTGATTAACATTATTTCTTTTATGGGGTCGTCAACATATCTTTGCGAAGCCATAACCAAGGAAAGCCAAGCGGAAGACGACTCGAGACGCAACATAAATCCGGAATTCATGCACCTTGCAAAAATCTTTGGCTCATCTCCCTCTTTTTCATAGTGGGGGATGAAAAGACTCTAAGACGAAGATACATTCCAGAAGAAAGATGAGAGGCACGTGAAACATATCCAGAAACATCAATCTTTTTTGAGGGCATTCTGACCTCAATAGAAATCCATCAGTCATGGACTAGAGGGCGCGAAATGATACATAAATCCACCCGTTGAAGCCCTGGAATGGCACGTCCATTAGTGAAGATCGGCTTAATGATTTTTAACCAGGTCTCTGAGTCTGAAGTTCAATCACAGGATGTCGCTCGGGCTGGATGCCAAATAAGTGCGCGGGGGTGGAAAATTGCCTCCTACCCCTTACGTAGTTCATTCCCGAATGAAATCTCCTCCGTCTCTTATCTTCTTCCTGGGATGGGAAGAGGCGAAGCGCCAACTTCCTGTCCATCTGTGCGATAGTCATATTCCACCAGTTCAAGAAAATCTGTGCGTCTGGTTCTACGTAACCTCATTTTTATGGTTCACTGAGGAGCTCAGGATTCCTTCCCTGAAGAATTTCTCAAGTTCCACTCGAGAAAGTAATGGATAGGGGAAGTTCGTCGGAAGGTAGTAAGAACAAGGCGAGAAAAAAGAAAACAAACCACTCATGGTGAACACACATGGAGAGATGGAGTACAAATTGTTCGGTGACTCACTCCATCCTGCCACTCTTGCCAAAAACTCTTCGCGTTTTAACAATGTTTGTTCAAAAGGCTTCTTCCCTCCCAACAAAACAATTACAGGCGGAGCATTTTCCTCACTCAAACGCTCGAATCGACACTGAATCTGTCCTCTGCGAACCCTTGTAAAGGAGTATGCTGTTAATTTTATGAGGTTCGTGACGCATAAGTATTACAATATTTTGACAGTCATTTTGCTTGGCGATAGAAAGTTCCGGAAAAATCTAAGAAAAAGTATGGTTAGAGGTAAAGCCTAAACTCAATGAAATATTGGCCGTCTTTCGCAAAGAGCGCATTGTTATATAACACGTGGCCATTCGTGGTAGCGATGTGCTCTTGTGGAAGCGGTATCAGTGCGAGAGATGTCAAATTCATGCAAATTCATGCAAATTCACGGAATCAACTTGGGAAAATACTGATTTTTTTTTAAGCGAGATAATAGAAGGAGGTGGAGATAGATTGATGCACTGTAAAAAATTTGTCCAGCAGAAACACCTTTGAGAGCGCAAAAGAATTCATATGGACACTTGCTTGCATGCGTGATGTCTCTTAAGCAATCTCTGATGTGCTCTCAGGTGTTGCTGGAAGGACACATTTTTTTACAGTGTGGTCAGAGAATATTATCACTCACAAGGCCGTGATGTTGCTTGGCAAAAAATGCGGGAAGGTCTTGAGATGAGATCCAGAGCAAAAGACGACACCCTGATTGGTACAATTGCACGGTGTAGGACACCAGGGGAAAGTGGAGGGATTGTTGCCCTTGAAGCCTCGCATTTTCCACTTCCATCGCATGGAATGATGGTGACCGGGGGTGGTCAAAATCACCACCACCAGACAACTGACAAGGATCCCCGTCACCACCGGGTTTCTCATTGTCCCTCACTTCTGTGACGGCATGTCACCACGACCGGTGGGGCAAATAGCAGCACTGGCTGACACCGGAGACAGCGGTAGAAAGAAAAAGATGTAGAAGCTGGGGAAGGAGTGGGCTCGTGGCAGCAGACCGGAGCCTCGAATGAGAGAGAGGGAGAGCCCGGGTTGCGTCATAGGCACATACACATGCAGGGACCAACCCTGCTCTCTCTCTCTCTCTCTCTCTCTACTCTCTTCATTGCACCCCGGAGGATGCTGACTGAAAAAAAAAAGAAGCCCTTCGGCTCTTCCTTTCACAACGAAGGGAAAAATCGTCCTGTCACGACGTCGCGATGCCTCGTCGCGTACGCATTTTTTTGGATGTCCCCCGTGATGAACATCCCTCATCGAGTCATCCTAGGGTCAAGACGGGAGCTTTACCTGCTGGGTTGCCGAACAACCTACAGATGCGTTCGAGGAATGAAGAGTGAATGGATTTCGGGCGGAACAAATGACTTGAGTCCTTCGGTGAGGACTGGAGCATTTCATAATCGAAGAAACCAAAACCGGTTGGTTTATGTTACCTGAGTGACGCGACACAAGCACACGCCTTCTGGATTACTATCAGCAGGTCTAGAGCTAATGGGAAACGAAATTATGCCAATGATAACACGGTCCAGATCTTTTATAGCAAGTGCCCCCCGGCTTACTCTTTCTGTAAAAATGCGTAACATTGGGGGTGCGAACTGGTTTGCAGAGAACGACTCGGGTAAGAAATAGGATAGTGAGATTGGAGAAATGAATAACAGGAAGGGAGAGAATAGATCGATCACAAGGGAGAGATCTCCATTGCATGTAATGTCCTTCCCAAGCTCTTCTTTGGCGCGATTTATCCCCCTCTAATGGCCTCCTCTCTGTTGATGGGGGGAGGACACTCTTCTTATCCACCCTCTTCTCCTCTCATCAACATAACATTTCCCAATACTTTCAAATGATGTATTGCGATGAAGAGAATCTGGCTACCCCCGAGAACATCATGCCTTTCCTTTTAGGCAAGCATGCAGGATCCACTTTGTCGCAGAAGGTTTCTCATTAGGGGTCAAAGTCCTCATCAGTCTGCCACGAGTTATCTAGCATTTCTTTTGTCTATTCGGTGGGTGGGTGAGTGCATGAAGTAGGCTGGAAATCCTGAGACTGATGAAGCACATTAATGATATCTGTGTCAATGTCTCACTGAAGTTCTCCAGTGAACCGCCTCTGGGCTTTCAGCCTGAGATCGCTTATGTGGACGATGCTACAGCCTCCTTTAGCAGCCGTTCTCTGTTACAAACTACTTGAACTACCAGTTTCGAGTTCTGCTGTGAGAGGTCGCTGAGATCAGCAACTATAGTACAACCCACAAATCCCCGCGAAGTGGCTTCTCCATTCATTCCTCAAGTGCACAATTCCCTTCATTTCGGGTTTAGTGCGGAAAAATTGATTTTGCGTTCACTCCATTACGTGGTTTTCTGTGTAAAGTTGCAATCGGGAGAAGGTTGTTACGACACATTTTGAAGTATGATATGGTTTCTCATGTATAGGATCAATTTTGCCGATAGCCTTCTCGCGAGATAGGCCGAGCTGAATTCATTACGAGTCCCATGTATCCTATTCCTTGATTTGACCAGTCTCTTGCGTTTTACTTCTGCCTGATATGACTTCTGTCAATTGGGAAATGCTAGGCCTAGGGTAGGCTTTTGAATGCAGCTTGCAACAGTGTTGTACATCTTCATCGTTTGCAATTTTAGGAGTTTTTTGTTTTTATTACTTCTCTTTTTGATGTGCTTTCCTCCAGGTTTTAGGTGAAATGGGTCTTTGGACAGACAAACACAGACCAAAAACCTTGACCAAACTTGATTACCACAAGGAACAAGCTGAACAACTGAGGAAGCTGGTCAGTGGAAACTTGGGTCAGGGCCTATTGTCCCCAAGGACATCAGGCCCTGATCCCTTAGGTCTAGGAATTGTGGGTTGTGGTCCCAAGGCTAAATTTTTTTATGCCTAAACTTTCAGGCCTGGTTTTCTGAAAATTTTCAAACTTTAACTACAGTCTAAGCATTAAGATTCACTTTTCTAGATTAACAAGGCTAAACTGGGCTCAATCAGTGAAGAGCAATTTTTTATTCTGATGCGAAGAGAACCCTCTAAAGTTCAGTGGCCTTTGCAAAAGCCTGAGCCTGACAGTTTTTAAAAGGCTATGCCTGATGTTATGTGAGTTGAATAAGTAGGTGTAGCCTGGCCTAGGTGTACTTTTCAAGTATACATATTATAGCATAAGCTTCTATCTACAGTGCTTATGGTTTGACTTTCTTGACTTGATCGAATGCTTTGACATGACATTCATTGTTTTGAAAGCTCACTGACAGGTATTAAACATTATTTTCCTTTATTAAAATTTAGCTGCAGTGTGCATTGCTTTGAGCTTTGTGCTTCCCTAACCTTTAGCCTATCATAGGCATATCAATTATAATTATTTTCTCTATTTGTCAAAGGGTACATTTTATAGGGTAACACCAGGTACATTTTAGGAAGAGGAGCAATTCTTCACCATTTCAAGTGAAGAATTGTCACTATGAAATGCTGTTATTCACTGGCTGCAATCACATGTATGTACTGTGGTTGTCTTCTAAATTCAAGAAAATGCTATGGAAGGATTCATGTAAATTAGCTGTAATTGATTATGTATATTATGTAGAGAGCCTACATTGAAAAGAAAAAAAGCATTTAAAAAAGTATAATATAGGGTAAACATCCCAGCTTTTGGCCACGCTGTTACGATTCCCATAGGAAGTGAACACCCTGTGTGCATACTGGGAAACACTAGTAATAGGTCCCCTATGGGAAGATTTTGATGGAATGCTTGAAAATGGCCAAATTAACTAATTATGGTGGATTTAAGCCTCACTGGCCAACAACTGGAATCCGGTCAGAAACCAGGGTGCTTACCCTATATAGGCTTAGTCATGTGCCTTATAAACACATTTGGTTGCATGAGTCTTCTTTCATTTTTCTGAAGTGATATTGAGTTTGAGTATAAGTTTGTTTCTTGGGTGGAGCCAGCAACTCAAAGGCAATTTGAATTCTCTTGTGTCCAAAGATGGCTTTTACTCTCTATCAATGGGTGATCAAAGAAGTGACATTTTTATCACCTCTTTTCTTCAACCCCACGATGCCAAGCACCAGGTAAGAGAGCGCATACCCTCCCTTCCCTTGGGAGCAAGAACTTTCAGGTAGAAGGGCATGTAATAAGTTTAATCTTCTTATTGCTTTTCTGTTTTTCCCTGTATTCATGTCCTTCCTCTCCTCTTCATGCTCCCCCCCCCCCCCAACACCCTCTGCAAAATAATTTATTTATGTGAGTAAAATGTTTTTGGGATCCTCCTAGAATAGAATGGGCTATTAGGCTCATGCCTAATTTTTATTATGAAGGTATCATGCCTCCATGTTTCATAATTATTTCAAATGGGTGACATTCTGCTTCCATTCCAGGTCCATGGAGGTGACTTTCCCCATTTGCTGGTGTATGGTCCTCCTGGAGCTGGAAAAAAGACCAGAATACATTGTCTTCTCAGGGAATTGTATGGCCCCAGCATAGAGCATCTAAGACTCGAAAAACAGGAATTCACGGTTTGCCTCTTCTTGCATACTTACAACTGTATGAGTTATAGCCTATATTAACTGAAGATTAAGCCATTGCAGATAATTTCGACTCACATGGGAGCTGAGGGGAGGGGGAGATCCAGGTTGTATTGTACACAAAAGCAAAGTCAAATTAGAAGATGCTGATAAATGAAAAAAAAGACTAAGTTAATCATGACAAGGGCAGAGAATCAAGCAAGAATGATTTCCTGCATGGGAAAAAATGGGTGTGCCTGTAATCTCTAGGTACAATCAAAGAGGTTTATAAGTGGCTTCACTTTCAGGCAGGATGGTGGGAAGAAAAGGTATAAAAGGCCCTATATTCTCATATTCAAAAACAAGGTTAAAATCTTTGCAGACCCCTTCAAAGAAACGGTTGGAAATCATTGCAATTGGGAGTAACTATCACATTGAGGTGAATCCTAGTGATGTTGGCATTCATGATAGAGTTGTCATCCAAGAAGTCCTGAAGAACACAGCCCAGACACATCAACTAGACAGTGTCAGCCAGAAGCAGTTCAAAGGTAAGAAATGTTAGCCAGACCATATCATTTACTGTATTATTTTTTCAGGGTTATACTGTCTTAAGAGTCTAAGACTGATATAATACTTTGTGTAGCTAATAATTTTTTCTGATCTGTAAATTGACTTCAATCTTCAGAAAAGATGCTGAAATGGTTAAGGTAATGAATTAATGATGATGTTAGGCCTGGCAAAATTCCATACTCAAGGTCATAGGGTAAACCAAAACTTTTCTTGAATTTTGTCCTTGAGCAGTGGTAGTACTTGATGAGGTGGACAAGTTGACCAAAGATGCCCAGCATGCACTGCGCCGCACCATGGAAAAATACATGGCCACATGTCGACTCATCTTATGCTGCAACAGCTCTAGCAAAGTTATTCCTGCGATTAGAAGTCGTTGTTTACCCATCAGGGTTCCTGCTCCTTCTCAGGAAGACATCATTCGCATCCTACAGGTGTGACTGGCACAATTTCTTGTCTTGATTTTTTGCTAAGAATTTATCTATTATCTATGGAACTGAATCATTTCAGAATGTCTGCAAAAGTGAAGGTTTGAACCTGCCAACTGAGTTTGCAAAGAAAATTACTGAAAAGTCAAACAGGAACCTTCGACGAGCCCTTCTCATGTGTCAGGCTTGCAAAACAAAGCAGTGAGTACCTGAATATTCAATCTCAACCTATTTTTTAGATATTTATTTTTTTATTGATTGCTTCTTAAGTGTAAAATCTAGATTGACTTAAATTGCAAGACTGTTACTATTTCCCAGGTATCCTTTCTCTACAAATCAGGAAGTCATTGAGCCAGAGTGGGAAGCATTCTTGAAGAAAACAGCTGACCTCATTCTTGAGGAGCAGAGTCCCAGTCGCCTCATGACAGTGCGTAATAACTTGTATGAGTTGCTGTCTCACTGCATCCCAACCAATGTGATTTTCAAGGTTAGCAACAAAAATCTTGGAATAGCTGTGTTCTGTTGGTAGTAATATACAGCTATTGCTTAAACTACTGGCTTGCATTCCAGGGTCTGCTGAAGCATTTGGTGAGGAATATTGATGGTGCACTTAAGATTCAGGTTACAGAACAGGCTGCCTTCTATGAGCATAGGCTCAATGTTGGTGATACAGAAATCTTCCATTTGGAGGCCTTTGTTGCCAAATTCATGTCCATCTATTCCAAGTTTCTGGAGGAAAATATGGCTGCTTTTGTTGATTGATCTTGTAAGCTTAGGACTTGGCACAAGGTGTGAATAAAGCATGTCTTGTCATAACATTAATCCTAATGATGACAGTTCGTCTATAAATGAAATAACACCATTGAACATGAAGGAGCTGCCACTCTGATATAACAAAGGACTTGATCACAGAAGTTTATTGGATGCTGAGCAGGTACAGGTCAATATATAGGTCCATCATCCAAAGTATCATCCTCTTCCTCCAAATACCCTTCTCCATTATCAAAATATGCATTTGCATAATCTGTTCCTTCATCCAATTCTTCATCTAAGTCTTCCTCCTCCTCCTCTTCCTCCTCCACTCTTTCCTTTTCCTTGTCCTCCTCCTCTTCTTGCTCCTTCTCTCCTTCTTGTACATCCCCTTTTTCCTCCTTTTTCTCCAAGTCCTCAAGTTTGCTGATCACATCCTTGTCTGGGGTCTGTACAGTTTGAGCTTTCTTGATTTTAACTGGTACTACAATTTTTGCCTTCCTCTTGTGAACCTTCTTTCCTGGGTGAAGTTCTGCTGGGAACAATGACCAGTCAAAGGGGAAGGTACTCTCCTCAGATTTCTTTTGGCTCCTATGAAAAAATAAAAAATCTGCATAATAATCATTCTCATTTTGTGCAGTGGTATACTAAGGAGGAAAATACAGTGTGTTTTGTTTGATTATCGACTTTATAGTGTGGTGAGCATTTTTCTTCCTGGACTGATTGATCAGTCAATTTCTTCTGTATATCCAAGACAAATCACTAGTCAATGAGGACACATCATTATAGGCTTTTCTTCCAAGTTCAAAAGTCTGCAAAAGTTAAGTTTATATCCAATTTTTTTATAGGGTGGGTTTTTAGAGCTCCTGAAGCCTCACCTGGTGAGAAATACCTACAACATATCTCACTGGGAGACTTAAGGAAAATTATAAACAGAAGTAAAATAATACATCAATCATTTATATTTCTTAAAAGAATCAGTTCAATATAATTCCAACAGTTATTCTGTAACAACAAATGATTTAAATGGGGATTTCATAAGAATTAGCAAAGTATCAATAAAAGAAATACACAAGCATCTCTCACTGCCAAAAAAGGAATGTCTCATATTAGAAGTAACAAGGGGGTCTGCTACTAAGAACTAGGGTTCTTGGAGTGCCATGCTTTTTAAAGTTATTGTTCAAGATGAGCAGATCTGACCAGGAAAATCTTAAGGACAACACTCACTTCCGAGAGCATATCTCAGCTGATGACTTCTGAACAGATGGCTTGATGCTGAGAGGTGAATCCCTCATAGAGTATTGGAATTCTTTCCTCACAATGAGCAGGTAGTCTTCTTCTACACCAGTAGACAGAGGCAATGCCTTTCGCTCCAATGGTGGGTATGTAGGTGGTGGTTGATGTTTTGGACCTGATTGTAGAACCTCTGCCTTGGTCACCCCCAACTGTTCCACATTGAAGGATAATCCTCTCCCCTTCCCTCTTCCACGGCCTCTTCCTCCCATACCTGATGCAACAATGTTGATGTTAACCTTCACACGCTGAATGTTTCCACAACCAATGTGGAATCCTTTTATAGGTTTGGAAAGGAAGATACCATGCTGTTTGATTATGGCAACATTCAGCATGTAAAGGTTAAAGACATTGATGAGTTTGTTCACATGTTATTAATATTGATGAATTTAATCTGAAATTCATTATGAGCAGAGGTATGAAGAAACAATGGGTGGATTGGTCATCAGCTGATATTGCAGATATCAGTATTATAGACAATCACAAAGTAAAAGTACAAAGGTATGGAGTTGCAAATGAAACATGCTTCAATGTCAGCCAAATCTTTAGGAAAACCCATAAGGTGTTGTAATGAAAATGACTTAGATTTGATAAAGTCTTTTGACAAACTATGAGAGACTTTTCAAGCTGAGTTCACTATTAGGCCTGGTGGTCAGTCATGATATGTGATGAAATTATTGCCTGAGCCTGAGGATTTTCAATATGCAATATCTGCAAAGTATTGGCATCTGGCACAGAATTAGAGGGACTGGGCAAAGAAATGACTAAGTGTTACTGAAGTGAATGAAAACAGTAGCCAGGAGAATGGGGTGCAAACATAACTAGTGCCTTCAGTTGCCAGTCTAGGCGCAATCCCAGATCAAGCTTGAAACAAACTAAAAAAGGGGAAAGGCCTCTGGTTGCGGCTTAGCCTATGAACTTATAGCTCACCAATATCTAACTTAAATAATTATTGAGCTCCAACGCCTCTTGAATATTTCTTCGGACCACGATCCCCACCCATAGACCTGGTACACGGTGTCCCAAAAAACTCGCCCCACTCTTGGCGGGATGTTACTTCAGCGTGGTTAGCAGCACTCCAGTGACCTTGGTACCTATGAATAGCCCAGGCCCTCCTCTACCATGTCAGCGCGTTTGACAGGAAGGGTGGAGGAGAAAGTGAAGTCAACGTTTTTATGAATGTCTGCCCGGACGGTGAACAGGCCGCAGAGGTCCACAGGAGTAATCTCCAAAATCACCAGACCTTAGAGTATGTGTCTAGTGGCTCTGGGGTTTTCACAAGGTGGAAGTGTGCACTGCAAAACCTCGTACCATCCCTGACCATCACAGTGGACATGAGCCGCAAAGCAATGGAGGTTTTTCCCGTCGCCTCGGTTATGCCATGATTGCCATGGACAGCAGTTTGACTGGCTCCCACATTAAATGCCACGAAGTTCTATTTGCAGTGCTTCTGCAGTGATCATCCATTGCAATATATGATAGGTATGACAAAGATATGCCCATTCATTTTCTCCCACTTTCCTTCCAAACTTGGGATGGGTTTTCTGGGACACCCTGTGAAGTAGCATGCGGGAATCGCGAACCGCCCTGGAAGATGCCATGACAGGTACGATAGTGCCCCCTGTGAGCGCGAGCTTCGAAGCAGGTTCTACGTTTAGACGCGAGGGGGCAGTAAGTCATATTCTTTATATTTAGAAAGTTCACAACGTTAGCAGTGGCGGCTCGTGATATTCAACAGAAGTGAATCGTCAATGAAAGAAAGTTAGGCCTACCCAACCTCCAATGACGATCCACTACAGCTGAATATCACGAGCCGCCCATGCACGTTAGTAAGGAAGGCTGCAAGCGTGGGAGACAGTGGGGGAAGGAACTTGGAATTCGCGGACAGCAACATACTGGCCCAAATTGCGATGATGACCCGCGGATAGAAACGCAGACTGCCTAAGCCCTGCTTGTGAATCCCTCCACAGCACAGTGGGACAAAAGCATATTTTCCTGATCAAAATAATAATAAAAAATTGAATTGTCTGGTATGATGTTGATGCACTACCCCCCAATCCCCCCAGTCATCGAACTTCAAAAAACTGAATTTACTTTGAAGAAAGCTCAAGCCATTTTCTAGATAGAACAGTGTAAACTCAACGAAAATCTAATTATTCCTCCACGCCCTGATTTCTTCAGTTTAAAAAGAAACCAACTTGTCCGTAGATGAAAACTGTGATAGATATAGACGGACTTGAGGGAGCCTTCTATGAGTAAGTTCTATCATATTGCATGATAATATATTAAAGTTACGTTATTGTGAGCGCTGTACCTATTTATCTGAACTCTAGTCTTCAACTATTACTGCTCCGTCATATTTTTTTGTGCGATGAAAATGTGGGCATTTCTGGAATCTCACGTTAGGATTTTAGCAACCACATGAAAACTAGCTGCTAGCTCTTGCTACTTTGACAGTAGGCGTGAGATATGCGGTATTTGCAATACTTTTCTCATTACTATTTGCGCATCGCTGACTTTTCGATCGCATAGCGATCATTTGGAACATAATTCTTTATATACATTGATCCTTCGGACGATTCCTGGAAGTAATTTACAAATTTAGACAAATTTACTTTCCTAATGTTCTATACAATAGGAAAGTAAATGTGTGCGTTCCCATATTTTTTATGAATCACCCACTGATGCTACATTGTTTATCCACTTGAGTCCAACACTTTTCATTTGCCTCCATACATGGGCGAGTCGAGTAAAAGTCGAGTCGATAGAGTCGAGTAAAAGCAAGGTCAGACTCATAAGGGAAACATTGTAGGCACAGCATGATATCCCACTCCTATTGTCAAAGTAGCAAGAAATAACAGCAAGTTTTCATGTGGCTGCTAAAATCCTAACGTTAGATTCCAGAAATGGCCATATCTTCATCGCATTCGATCGCCCTTTTTTGCAGCGCACAAAAAAATATGGCGGAGCAGTAATCGTTGAAGACTAGAGTTCAGATAAATAGACATAGCGCTCACAATAACGTAACTTAAGAATATATAATCATGCAACATGAAATTAGGTGATTTGGGGGGTAGTGTATCAGAATCATACTATACAACTCGATTTTTTTTTTCATTTCGCCAGGAAAATGGGCATTTGTCCTGCTGTGAACTGTTCTGTCTTCATTCGGCACTAGACTTCTTTTCCTTCAGCGCTTTCACATACCACATGCCATTCTGCATGCCTCTTGTTCGGAAAAATGTTCAGCTGTTCTTTCATACAGCAACTGAGGGATGATCGTCCAGAATCATGTCCTGCCATCCCGTTTTCCTACCCTTTTCTTCGGCTAGCTATCAGTGCTCGAAACAGGAGGAGATAGGCGGGATGGCATTCCGCCAAGACTGATTTTATACTTGAGCCATCCCGTCACAATTAAAATACAGGGACGAGGCGGAATGGCGCTCCCTGAAGGACGTCAGGTTTGCCCTTGCATATTGATTTGCTTTGTAAAAAAATATATTGAGGAAAAAATGTAGACAAAACAGCCTACGCAGTGCAATGCAGACGGAGCAACAATCTAAACCCTACTATGGCTACATATTGTTTATGGGGGGGGGGCATTATAAAAGAGGCACTATTCCTAGTCGCCGCCGTCCCCCCCCCCCCCCCCCCCCCCCCCCCCCCCCCCCCCCTTATGGCTACATTTTGTTTTTGGGGGGGGGGCATTATAAAAGAGGCACTATTCCCAGTCCCCCCCCCCCCCCCCCCCCCCCCCGTCCCCCTCTCTGTCACAAGAACCTGCGTGGACCACAGACTTCCGATGTGGATTGATAATTGGATACCACTAAAGTGGGAAGTCCATTTGTGAAACCTCAGAGCTAACTGCTATCCCAAAGTTAATTGTAATTTGTATTGTAATTGTAATTGTAAATTACAATTGTAATTGTAAATGCTTTTGTGAAATTGAACTGGAACAGTAGCAGTCGCTCCTCGTTCTGGCCGAACTGCAAAATTACCCGTAGATGCAGGAAGACACCGAAGCAGATAGTAACAGACGGACTAGTCTTGCAGACAGAAAAGAGTCTTTACAAGGAGTGGCAGGGTCATCTGTCAATGTTAATATGGTGCGAAAATTTATATGCGAGCTTGGATATCATGGTCGAGCTCCTTATAAAGCCTCTGTTATGAAGTCTCATCCCCGTTAAAAACTTGGATGTATTTTGCCATTAGATGGATCTCGCATTGGAGAATAAAAAATGCTCGTGGTCTCCACACAATCGGTGCTCGAGGTCCAGACTGCATCAACATGAAGAGGAGGTGTTCTGGAAGATAGGAGGTCTATTGAGTCATCAGTCTAGTGGCATTGCACTCCATTTGTAGAGATTATTCTAAAATGCTATGTGATATAGGGTGGGCCAAAAAACAAACTTCGGTTATCTTTATCACTCCACAGTATATACCGGTCCCCAAAAGTTTGCTAAAATTGCAATAGCGCCTCATTATATAACATTCATTCAGCTTTCTAATGTGTTAGCCTCTGTTACCCTGTGCGTAACTGCATCGGAATCATAGAGAACTAGTGGTGACACTCCGCTCGAATCCCATTCATTGACAGGGTCGCAATATAGATGTCGCTGTCGATCCTCCACCTAGCGGGCGCACATCAATGACTCTTCCATGGCTGAGCTGCGGACTCAACGAGACAAGCGTGTTACGTTGAGGGATCCCTTTAGGTCGAACCCCCGAATGAGTCGATTCCCGATTCCGCTGCCACGAAGCACGCCACAAGGAAGTGTTGTTGATAACAAACCACCAGATGTCTCTGTAATATTTCGACCCTTCCCTACCCCTCGGAGTGTCGCCTCTAGTTACACTCTCTATTCTATGATCGGAATGACCATAGGCGCCGACTTCTAATAAAAATATTGGAGGGGGGGGGCCAAGTTTCTAGTGTCCCTGAAATAACATTGACGGAATTATTCCAGGATCCATTGGGTAGCTCAGTATTATTATGGTAGCAGAGTGACGGGGTGGGTGGGGGACTGTGCTGAGCATGGCTCTTCCACCCCATACCTTTGCGGGGTGACACAGGGATCTCCCCTAGTTGGAGCTCTAAACAGAAAGGAAAATAATGTTTTTCATTTCTTTCGTGAAGCAGCTTTTTGTTTTCAATTTTCCATGTGCCATACTTTTGTTGAAATTTGGTCATTCTTGAAGGTTGCCCCCTCAATAATATAGTTGGGGGAGGGGGAACACGTGCCCCTTCGCCCCCTGGGTTCGGCGCCTATGGGGATGACGGAATGAATCTTAATTCTTTTGACATCAGTGATAAGCTAGATAAATGTTCTATATAGAGAAGTTATTGCAATATTTTGAAACTCTAGAGAAACTACGCTGTGAAGCGTTAATGACTACCGAATATTTTTTTGGCCCACCCTGTAAATTAGGTCAAAGTTCGCAACAAAAAAAGGAGGTGTTGTGCTCGACTAGGTGCTTGCAGTTCAAATATTAGTAGGGTATAACTGATTCGGGGCACATTAGAGGGTAGGGCTAGGAACCTAAGGGGTTCGGTGGTGGAGTCCCTGTTGTGTTCCCCAGTTTTTATCACATCCTATTTTTCAAGTCCACTTTTTAAATGGAAAGGGTGAGACTGTTAAGATCTGGTGGAAGTGAAACCGATTAGCAGGACCACCCCATGGCTAATCTTGTCTAAACAGTTTTATGAACTACAGTATGATTCTCGACCTTGTGCACCGATTGGGCTGATATCGCGGGCATTTTTATTCTCTTCGATGTCAGGGTTGTGGTTGTTACCCTTAAAGAGTAACTCGTTCCCGTTAGTCGTTCCTTTCCAAAAAAAAGCAACTAGTTTCCGTTATTAACTTTTTTCAATGAATAACGACAGTTACCCGCTATATTTAAATTTAAGGGAACTCATGCAGGAGACCGAGGGAATACAGGGGTAGGGGTGGATTGCGGGGGGACTGAACAATTACAAATAGGTGAAACGCATATTCTCTTTTTTGGTTTCTATTGTCGACTGCAAACAATTTTAGGGTTACCTGTAACGCTTCTAGATTTTTCCGAAAGTTGAATCGCTTTACTACCTTTTCATTAAATCTGGGGATAAGGACAGGATCACCGTTCCTCGTTACTGACTTTGGTAACGTATTTACTATACCGCACAACCCTACTCATATCCGTCTAATGATACCTATAACGTCGGTGAACAATAGGGGGACACTTTTGGGCATTTTTCCCTTATAGACAAAACTTCACAAAAGGAAGTACGCAGAAGATTTGATAGAAGTTATCCTTCTGATGTCCGAATGGTTTTAGAGATTTTCTATTCTGTAAGCTTCCTGTAAAGCAATAAAAATTATATCTGAGAAATTATTGCTA